TTCCTTTTGTTATTGATGTATTTATAGCAACACGTTTTGTACACAGTGCCATGGAAAAGCTGCTCTTCATCTAATGCGCTGCACCACAATGCTGTATGGCAAACACATCTATATGGCGTTAGGATACTGCAGGGATGTATTTGGGTATTTCTATCAAGTGCACCGTGACATTAGACTTCATGTATAAAGGTACATAGTTAAATACAGCCTCACTTCAGTGTATGGAGGCTTCAGAATTTATCATTCATTTGGTCAAAGGTTTTCTGTAAAACCTAAGTCCTGCCCTAGCCAGGACATTGCTAAAGTGGAAGAACAACTCCAATGGGGTGATGAAGTCATAAAGTCCACTCATTTCCACATTCAATGGAGACATGAAACTATTTGAAGCGACCCAACAACTTGGATACCTCAGCAAGTGTTTTAAACCAACATGACACAACTCTCCTGATGCAGTAACATACTGTCTTGCCACAACACTAGAGAACAAGCCATCAGACAAGCAGAAAAATGCAAGAATAGTGCACAAATTGTTTTCAAGTTGTTCTCAGAACATACTACTCAAAAATAACTCACGGTAACTAAGTTTTTCTTCACCTAGTTACAGGTCATTTATTCATCGTATCACCATAAAAATTTCTCCTCCTTCTCATCTTATCATAGAATCATAGAACTTAAGGGTTGAAATTGACCTTACAGATCATCTAGTCAAAACCCCCCTGCCATGGGCAGGGACACCTCCTCACTAGATCAGGTTGCATAAGGCCTCATCCAGCCTGGTCTTGAACACTGCCAGGGTCGGGGCAGCCACCACATCCCTGGGCAACCTGTTCCAATGTCTTACTACTCTTATAGTAAAAAACCTTTTTCTAATATCTAACCTAAAATTTCCCTCCTTCAGTTTGAATCCATTACCTCCTGTCCTGTCATTGCAGTTCCTAGCAAACAGTCCCTCTCTGGCTCCCTGACTCCCTTGTAGGCCCTTCAGATATTGAAGAGTTGCTATGAGGTCTCCATGCGATTTTCTCTTCTTCAGGCTGAACAGTCCCAATTTCCTCAGCCTGCCCTCAGAGGGGAGGTGCTCCAGTCCTCTTATCAACTTTGTGGCCCTCCTCTGGACTTGCATATCCTTCTTATGCTGAGGGCACCAGAACTGTGTGCAGTATTCTAGGTGGGGTCTCACAAAAGCAAAGTAGAGGGGAAGAATAACCTCTTTTGATCTGCTAGACACACTCCTTTTGATGCAGCCCAGGATACAACTGGCTTTCTGGGCTGCTGTTACCTCTCCAACATTTAGAGACACAGTCAACACAAGCCTTCCCAATCCACAGCCTTTGACTCAGCTGTGTATATAACATCCTTGTCACCACCTATTGCTTGTTACAGTGATTTGAAATTCTTCCTCTTGTAAGCAGAAGTACAAAAGTTTCTACATGTGATGTTACCTAAAAAGAAAGTGCTTCCATGTTGCCCCAGATATATTTTTCAAGAGCAGCCTGTGTTGAATTATACTTCCACATGCATCAGGCCTCACCAGCTAGCTCAGATGGGTAAGATACTATTCAGATACCTGGCATCATATTCCTATCCCTCTCTT